ATTCTCAGCAACACACACACACACACACACACACACACATACACACACATACCCACAAAAAAATACACAAAGTTAAACTGATGGATCTGGAAGGTGTTAATAAGCTTTTTAATACATTTACATGCTTGGTATACAGACCAGGCAACTGATTCAGTCAGAGCTCACTCTTCTGGGTTCATAGCTCTGGGGTTCCTGCATCTCTCTCCCTGTAAAAGCTTTGTGCACTGAGGGAGGCAACAGGAAGAATCCAAGTAATTAAGGATTGAAGTTTAATTAGAAATGAAATGTTTGCAGTCAAGTGATCTGAAATTGAGAGATCAAAGAAAAGTTAGAAGAGAAGCAGCCCCAGTAAAGGACCGTCTGTGGGAGTGAGTCTAGATCTCTTCCCTAGGCTCTCTTTTCCTTTGAAACATCACAAACCAAGCTAACATCTTCATCAGAGGAAATCCGATCTCTGTCTGAAATCAATTCTTATTTAAATATTCAATGTTTTCCCCAAACACAAAGTTTCCAAATATTTGAAAAGTATGGATTATAACCCTTCCAAATCTACAGACAAATTTGGGCTTGGTCATCTCCCTCCTAAAGCACTAACACTCCCCCACCAAGTCTCACTTCCCCTCTGCCTGGGCCGTCCTCACCAACACTCCCGAGATGGCTCCTTCTCCTGGCCCCAGGGTCTTGGATTGGTGCTTGCTTCAATTTTTGAGATCTCAGGAAATGTGACTTTTTAGTACTCAACTAACCCCAGAATCATGAGAAACACAAATTAACCACATTATTGAGGAAATTACAAAGTGTGTTCCACATGGACATGGAAATGACCATCTAGGAATCACCCCTTATCTGGACTCTTCACATCACTACTGCTTTCTGGAAACAAAGACATTAGAGTGTGTTTTGTTCATTGAAGATTACAGCAACTAGGACATTAACACTAAGCTCTGCTGTTCTTGGATATGGGTATCTGTCTGGAAGAACCAGCAATGGAAGAAGGCTTAGTTCACCCTGCCTTGTGCTACTTTTCTCCCCCTCAAATCTCACTAGACACTTTTGTGCCCCTGGAAATGCCTGAGCATTTTTGCTTTGTTCAAATACCAAGAGGAGTGGTAGTGCATATCTGTAATCCCAGCAGTTCAGAAGGCTGAGGCAGGAGGATTGCAAGTTTGAGGCCAGCCTCAGTTATCTGCTGAGACTTTCAGCAACTTATCAAGATATAAAAGTCTATGGATGTGGCTCAGTGGTAAAGCATCCCTAGGTTCAATCCCCAATACCAAAAAAAAAAAAATGAAAAAGAACGAGATTTCCAATGTGTCCATATTCACTGCTTCTGGGCAGTGATGGTAAAAAGTGATCAGCTAGGAAATGAAATATAAATGGAGTAGAGTAGGGACGGTGTGGGGAGCCACCTGTGAACTACGTGAGGGGTCTTCACTCCATACCAAGCCATAGAGACTTAGGTTTTTCCCTTGGGAACTATCCCAGCTCTCCCATGTGCATCAGATCACCCAAGGCATGAGGTCTCTGTCTTCATTCAACTAGAGAGACAGCTCTCGTAGCTCCGGAGTTGGGTGTAACCCATTGGGAACTGTCTGCCCACCTCCTACCTTTGTCAAAGAACATTCCATGGGAAAAAACCTTGATATTCCCCCTTATAAATAAAGCTAGCGTGGACTACCTCTCTCTTTCTAGTGTGGAATCTCGCTCCCTAAGATCTGCTAGCCATCCTGCCCTTGCTTTTCAAAAATTAGTTTCTGTGCCCTGTGGCTTTTTCACCGCCTTCTCTTCCTTAGCTTTTATTCTGCAGCCAGCCCACTTCACCAAGAGGAGACCCAGTTCCGTCACCTGCATGGGAATTGGGTGAGAGGGCAGAACACACAGAACAAGCTTATACGTTAAAAATGAAGGAAACACCCAAAGCACAAATTGGTAAATACACACCATCCATCATGATTACTGCCATTGCCACCACCATCAATATCACCACCACTATCACCATCACCTGTACCACCACCACCATCACCATCACCATCACCTCTACCACCATAATCTCCTCTACCATCATCACCATCACCACCACCTCTACCATTACCACTACCTCCACCACCATCACCATCACCATCACAATCACCACCACCATCATCAAAAAGGAAACACAGACCCTTTCCCGTTCATGATCCTTCACTCCAGGACAGCAAGTGTTCTATGGGACTCAGAGCTATTCTAGTGGCCCTTTCAACCTGATTTTGCCCCTACCCCAAACTTGGTGGGATTCAGAACATGATACAGCCCCCTGTAAGACCCTCTTGGTCCAGGAGGCAAAAGACAATGGGAGCACTACCCTGCTGAGAAAGACCCTAGTCCTCTTGGGACAAAGCACTGAGAAGGGCTCAGAAAACAACACTCCAAAGAGCGCCCCCCTGACTTGCTGAAGTTAAGAACAGACTTGGAATCCAAGTCTCTGTGACCTTCTCCCCCACCCCACAGTCTCTTGATCATCCTCTTCTCCCCTAATTGGCAAAGGAAACTTTTTTCAAAAGAAATTCAGGTTTTTTAAGCCTTATCAGTAGTTTTCTCATCAAATAACCAGAAAAGATTAACCTCCAGAAAAGAGTAAAAACTCAAAGTCACCAATGCACAGACTTTTCATCTATTCTTGTAAAAGTAGCTCTGAGAGAGCACCGAGGACATTTTATCTACGTAATACGACGTTTGAAGTACAGTTTTCCCTTCACCTTCCCGTAACTTGTTGCCACCTCCCCAGGAACCTCAAGCCCCTATTTCTTTCTGTAGCTCAAAATGCTGCTGAAGCTTCAACCATATGGTCCTTTCTTTGAGTCTCGATTTTGTCTGTGTCTCCCATACACATTTTCACATTAATAAATCATATGAATTTTCTCCTATTAACCTGTCCATTGTTAGTTCATCTAAGCAGACTCAGTCGGAACTTTCAGAGGGAAATTGTGAACGTTCTTACAATAACCTGATCAATGAGGACCCTGGAGACATGATCCGAAGATGTCAGGGGGATTGCATTGCCCAAGAGTACTTTCAAAGGTTTTTGTGTCTTGAGATCGAATATGTATTCTTGTGGCAAAATATCTTCTATCCAGCCAGGTTTATATAAATCTTTAAAAAAAATAGGTTCCAAATTAAATAAGGAGAGAAAAGCAGAGTTCTTCCAATACAAGAAGAGAAACAAAGTTTCCCATCTGAGATCCCTCTCACCAACACGTCATATCCAGTGTTGGTCACCCTGGACAAGAGGAGGCTCTGTGCAGGCCTCCCCAGGTGACACTTACTGGGGACTCTCAGCTCAGGAATGGGCCAGAGGCAGAGTTCACCCTGGACCTCAGTCCAAGCCATCGGGGAACTACCTACTAAAAAGGAATTGTCCCTACCCAAAAGGCCTCCCTTAAATGCCCCATCATAAGATCCACCCAGAATTCTTAGAGAACAGAATCCATGGGGAGATATTTATACAAAGCTTCCAAGATGCCCTCCATGTCCCCTTCCATTTCTTATCCCTGAAGTATCAACAAATTGTCAAGTAGAACCCCTTGCCCAGGCGTACCTGATGAGCCAGAATGTTGACCCTGTAGGAACAATTAGAGAATTCAGTGGAAAGGTATCTGAACTTAGCATTCCCTAAATGGAGTTTGGATCCTGGACCAGATGTATGACCTTAGTAAAGTCGCTTCTTTGTGCCTTAATTTCCTTATCTGGAAAATAGAATAATAATACTGTTGCTGTGAGGAATGAATGAAATATGTACATAATGTGCCGGACATGAACAGAGATTCCCCTTATCCATACCCCACCCTGGTGTGTGTGGCCCAGGCTGTGGCTCTGACCTTCCAGCAAAGTCAAAGGAAGAGCACAGAGGGAGTACCTCATTTCACCTGCAGAATCGGAGGAAAACTCACCATAACCAGAATTATCTGACCCTCCTCTTCCCTCTGCCCATATGAACCAGTGATCCTCAAACTTTAATTGGCACAGCAATATTCCAGGAGCATGTAAAAATCCAGATTTCTGGGCTCCTCCCTAGAGTTGTTGATTCATAGTCTAGGTGGAGCCCAGAACCCACAGGGATACTGATGTGAATGGTCATCCATAGAACCTATCCTGACAAGCACCAAAACAATCAGGACTCTGAATGGGCAAGGAAATGATGAAGGAGGCTGGCACTTGGTTGCTAGGAGACAGCTGTGTGTGTGTGTGTGTGTGTGTGTGTGTGTGTGTGTGTGTGTGGTGCTGGGGATTGAACCCAGGGCCTTGTGCATTCAAGGCAAGCACTCTACCAACTGAGATATATCCCCAGCCCCACGAGATAGCCTTTTGCCA